GAGATGGAGATAATCCGTCACAGGGCGGCGTCGGGTTCCTGGTCAACAAAGTCCTCACTGACAACGTGATTGAAGTCTCCAGTGTGTCGACGAGGGTTGCGTACCTCATTATAAAACTAACCAAAAGGTATAGCCTAAAGGTTATACAAGTGTACGCTCCAACGTCGACATACTCGGATGATGTCGTGGAAGAGATGTACGAGGACATCTCTCGAGCCTTACACACCACCACCAAGGCTCACTTTAACGTTGTCATGGGGGACTTCAACGCTAAAGTGGGAGTACAGACTTGCAGCGAATCGATGTTAGGATCATACGGCTATGGGAGTAGGAATCATAGGGGGCAAATGCTCGTCAATTTCTTGGAACGCGAGGGGCTTTTCTTAATGAATTCATTCTTTAAGAAACAGCCCCAGAGGAAGTGGACGTGGCGAAGCCCCGATGCTATGACCAAGAATGAGATTGACTTCATCATATCGGACAAGAAGCGCATATTCAGAGATGTCTCAGTGATCAATAGGTTTAAAACCGGAAGTGATCACCGACTTCTAAGAGGCACTCTGATTATCGATTTTAAGCTCGAACGCTCTCGATTGATGAAGTCAACGCTCCGGCCAAAGCTGCTCCAATCAGCCGTTGGTTCTGACGCATTCCAAATGAAACTGGAAAATCGATTCGCTGCCTTGGAAACCACAATTGATGTTGACATCGACGAGGAACTCGACCAAGTGGTAGAAATCCTTCGGGACGAGGGTGCGAAATTCTGTGAGCTGCGACGTAAGGGCAAACGGTCTAAGCTTTCGAAGGAGACTCTGGATCTAATGGACAAGCGGCGTCAGAACAACGGGCTCTGAATAAGTCCATCTCCAAGCTGATAAGACGTGACCTCCGACGCTCCAATTCACTCTTAATACAGAGAACAATTGAGCAGAATCGGGGGTCCAAAGTCTTCGTACAACAGCTTGGAAGGAGCCACCTGACGAAGTTGATCAAAACAAATGGAGAAGTCGTCACGTCGAAACCAGAGATTCTTTCGGAAGTTTATACCTACTATAGCCAGCTATACGCGTTGCACTCGCCCCACCCTACGCCGGATAAGAGCGATTCAAGAGCCACATTAACCCGCCATGTGACGGAGGATCTCCCCGACATCGGCCTAGAGGAGATCGAGGCGGCTCTTGGGCAACTCAAAAATGGAAAAGCCCCGGGGGAAGACGGAGACACAACCGAGCTTCTGAAAGCTGCCGGCAAGCCTTTGCTGAAGGAGCTCCGGCGTATATTTAACTCTGTCCTTTTCTCCGGGAGAACTCCAAGGGCGTGGCACCGGAGCTTGGTCGTATTATTCTTCAAGAAAGGCGACAAAACCTTACTGAAGAACTATCGACCAATTTCCCTCCTGAGCCATGTCTAAAAGTTGTTCTCGAGAGTCATCTCGAATCGCCTTGCACGAAGACTTGACGAAGCTCAACCTGCAGAGCAGGCCGGGTTCCGACGGGGTTATGGCACCATAGACCGACCACATTCACACAGTGAGACAGGTTATACAGAAGACCAAAGAGTATAACCAGCCCCTGTGCATGGCGTTTGTGGACTATGAGAAAGCTTTTGACTCCGTTGAGACCTGGTCTGTTCTTGAAGCGTTGCAGAGGTGCCAAGTTGATTGGCGATATATCGAGGTGCTGAGATGTCTATATAACGCCGCTAATATGTCCGTCGTGCTCCAGAATGGCCAGCTCGGCCTGACCTGTGGTGTGAGACAAGGAGATGTAATATCCCCAAAACTCTTCTCCGCTGCGCTGCAGGACGCGTTCGGAACGCTCAACTGGAAAAGACGCGGAATAAATATTAATGGCGAATACATCTCACACCTTCGATTCGCGGACGATATCGTCATCCTGGCTGAAACCCTGCAAGACCTACAGGAGATGGTGAGTAGCCTAGCTGAATCTTCTAAACGCATCGGTCTCCGGATGAACTTGGATAAAACCAAGGTCATGTTCAACGAACTCGTTGATCCGGGACTGGTTGCTGTTAATGGAGTACCTCTCGAAGTTGTTCAGGAATATGTCTATCTAGGACAAACGCTCCGATTAGGCAAAAACAACTTTGAGAGAGAAGCCAATAGAAGAATTCGGTTGGGCTGGGCAGCATTTCGTAGCCTTCGTCAAGTCTTCTCGTCACCCATCCCTCAATGTCTCAAGTCGAAAGTCTTCGATCAGTGCGTCCTCCCAGTTATGACATACGGCGCCGAGACGTGGACACTCACGGCTGGACTGGTCCACCAGTTTAAAGTGGCTCAGAGAGCTATGGAAAGGGCTATGCTCGGAGTATCCCTGAAGGACCGCATCAGAAATGATGTAATCCGACAGAGAACCAGAGTCACCGACATAGCCCACCGAATTAGCAAACTGAAGTGGCAGTGGGCTGGTCGCATTAGCCGCAGAACTGACGGCCGTTGGAGCCGTAAAGTTCTTGAGTGGAGACCGCGACTCGGTAAACGTAGTGTGGGACGCCCTGAGACAAGATGGGATGATGACATTCGTAGGCTGGCTGGCGTGAGCTGGATGAGAGTGGCAGAAAATCGGGAGCAGTGGCGTGCATTAGGGGAGACCTATGTCCAGCAGTGGACGAGCGTGGGTCGATGATGATGATGATGATGATTATAATACATACAAACATAACACACTTATATTTAAATATATAAATAGTAAATAGATATATATAATATATACATGATGATGATTAAAAAGTGACATTTCATCTTAATTTTTTTATAGTGGTCTTTTGCAAAGTCCTTCTTGCTTAATTTCCTTGCCACGATTAGAGCTCCAATTTAAGTAAAAACTGTGCCACCTCCCACCTATCTTAAAAAACTTTGCTCGCCCTTTTTTCGACAGCAAATTTTTCTAATAATGAAATAACAACTTTATAAAAGTACGGACCCAAACTTTCGCAGACTATAAATTAACAAAAAAAAAGTTATTTAATTACGTTGCTTGAAATCTTGTATAAAAGGATTCTTTTGGATCGCCTCAAAATTAAATAAGTTACGAAGCATCTGAATGAGATGAAAAGGTAAAGATTAAAAAGTGAAAGATTAGTGTCGCCGCACACGGGCCACCGACCACAACCACAAAACGCCGCCACCGGCATATTTCTTGTAGTTTCCATACATTTTAAATGGACTCGCCACACATGCGACGCCGGTAGCCGCCATACGCTACAAATCGTCGTTGCTCGCTTCTTGTGGCCCGCACCGGCCACTTAATACGCCGATACAAAACGCCGCCACACGTCACTCGCGCGATTTCCCACCCCTCTCTCCCTTACCTTAGTCGGCCGCTGTCGCGCGCTTCAGCCACTTTAGTAGCCACTTCTAGCTTCTCGTGGTGGCGTTTGTGACTGTGGCGTGTGGCCCGTGTGCGGCGACACTTAGGCGTGACATATGTTGTATATAAGCGGCAATAGTGCGAGGGAAACAGCAAGCTGCTCAATTGTAATTTTTTAATAAATAATAAATAAATATTTCCAACACTCACACCAATTAGCCTAGCCCCAAAGTAAGCACTGTAAGGCTTGTGTTATGGGATGCTAGGGTAACGGATAGAATACATATACTGTACATATATAAGTATATTGATATAGAAATACATATTAAACATCCATGACTGGAGTACAAATGCTCGTATTCATCACACAAACATCTGCCCCCATCGGGATTCGAACCCGGGAGCTCTCGAGTCGGCGACACCATGAAACCCGGCGTACAAACCACTCGGCCACGGAGGTCGTCAAAATTCTGCTTTCTTTAATGACCACATTTTTTTCTGTTTTCGTTTGGTGGATATGATCTTTTCTCTCTATTCCGACCCTATGTCCAAGGAGATAATAGGCTAAGGGGCAGTCCTAATTAGCAACGATCGCACGATGACATGTTCTCGTCGTGCGATGATTTTCAAACATAAAGATATCTTCAGAAGTGTCTTAATACAGCTCGAATGCCGTCGCATGAGAACTGCGAACAAAATGCTTTGAACGCTTTTCTACAGTAGTTTTTACTACGCCCCGCTTTCGCGTCGGACGCGCCAATCCGGGCCGCCGCACAAAAATAAGACAGAGAGCATTTCATTGATTGAATAATGAATTGAATTGCATTTGTTTTAGTTGCAATTTATCATCCGCATCGTGATCGCGACCGCGCTATACGAAAAAGTAAGACAGCGATAATTACATGTCTATGAATGAATTTTTACTACGCCGCTACCGCAAGCGATTATGGCATTATGGGTGACAGAGCGGGGCTTTCCGCGAGTTTTCATTGGACGTGGAGATCGTATCGTGTCCACGTACGATCGTTGCCAATTATGATGACGCTTAATGATAATGAGGAACAGAGGTGTTCGTATCGCAAAGTAATCAATTGTCACAATCTGTGGCTGTGCTCATTCTAGCTATTACTTGTAAGAAAAAATATTAATTTGTTTCTTAAAAACAGTGATGTTCACACAATTAATACAAGAAACAAAAATAAACTAACTTTACCTGCTACTAGGCTTCACAACATTAATAATTCATTTAAAGGTCTCTGTGTTCGCTTATACAATAAAGTCCCAAGCAATATCCAAGAGTTAGCCACAAATAAATTTAAAGATATTATAAAAAAAACACTTATTAAAAAAGCTTATTACAAAGTGTCTGATTATATTACAGACAAAAATGCTTGGATTTGAACTGTTCCAATCATTCCAACAGGTTTTCTATATTAAATAAATCATAATTGTATTGACGTTGTAACAACATAATGATTTGTAAATGTTGTTACATTAGACTTTTAATGTTGTGGAGCTTTTTTCGCTCGTTTTTCTCCGCAGCTAAAAAATATGTCCATAACGAGTGGTAGGGAAAAAAATTTTTGGACGATTCAAAAGAGTTGTACTATACATCCAATTTAAATAAAGATATATTGATTTCTGATTTCTAATTTTAATTGCCACTGTTAGCGCAAGATTTGTCCTTCGACGAGGAGTCGGCTTGTGAATCTATTCCCGAGGAAATGGGCACGGGAATTGAGTTGTTCCTGTCTGCAGACTACGGCCAGCAGGAGAATACTTGCTTCAAGGTATCGTTGTGAATCGATATTTATTGAGAGCTCATTATTGCCTCTTATATTTTATCAGTTTAGGGTATACCATTAGAAAATAGTATGTCTATTGTTTTATGTTTTTATTGTTATCCTTGTCATACCCATAGAGAATGAGATAATGGCTGCTATCAAATGTAGTTTAAGATTGACAAAATCTGATAATTCTCCTAAAGTAATACAAAACATATCCTGGCAGTTTTTTTACCGCGTTCATAGTTATGTGTATGTGTTTGTTTATGTGTTTGTATTTGTGTGTGTGTGCGTGTGTGTTTGTGTGTATTAGATTTACTTACAAAAAGTTTCTCAGTCTTGCTGAGGAGCCATTCATGTAACATATAAATTGCATGTGGTCCGCCTGATGGTTAGAATTGTACGCGATAATTATTGTGTACAATTTTTAAACTATGGCAACTAGGTATATCCTCTCCTGTGTTGGTGGTCATGCGCCGTTCGCACCCGGTTATGTTGGACTCCTTTAAGGGGCCTCCCGCTGGGTGGGAACGATTGCATTGTTTCGCCGATATCTCTGTTATTTTGTATGAATACCCTATACAAACTATATATATTTGGATTCTCCATAAAATTTACTATAAAACAGTGTGTACACAATGCGTCATGTCTATAATCTATTTTAATTGCGTTACGGTAAACTCGGGTAAGATAAAAAAAAGGCGTTCAGATGGGTAAAATGGAGTATATCTTCAAAATTTTAAAATTTCATGTCCAGGTTTTTTGGTTATTTGCACATTCTATTATAACTTACCAATTAAAATCATAAAATACCATACTCCCACAATTTAATTTTACACTATAGCTCTTACAATTCACGCGCTCATATGTGTAAACAAACACGCGTTATAAAAACAGGTGTCGGGTTTCGGGTAGGCGATAACGATTGGACGGGCACTCTAATAGCCATGATTTATGGGTTTACGGTTAGTTAAGATTGTAAACATCACTTTAGAAACAAGTGTGGCTTGAGAAGTCCTTTTTTATTTTATAGTTTTAAGAACTTGCAACAAGGCATTTTAAAATCGCCTACAAATCAGTCATCTCAGTTTTATGTCAATAAAACGAAAAGTACTTGCCTACCTAGTTGCCATATTCCGACTATTATCTTAGGTGGAGCCAGAGATGACAACCATTGCGCCGGGTGCATACCAGCATTTTCAAGTGACATTTGAAACTCCCGAACACGGAGAGCAGGCACAGAACGCTATTCTTCTACTTCGCCCGTTGCCGACAAAACCAGCTGGGTATGATTATATCCTTCCTTTCCTTTCCCATACATAACTGTAGAGATAAATATACATGTTTCAATTTCGCAAAATATACAATAATAATAATAATTTATTTATTTCTCTCCACAAATATCAAACGGATCATAGTAGTGTTGCCGATCGATAGTCGACTATCGATGATTAATCGATAGCCTATCGATAGCCAACCAATCGTATGACAATCGATCGGCTTCGATATCGATAGTATCGATACTATTGATAGTATCGATACTATCGATACCACAGAAAAAGCCAATACTATCGGATGAGTTAAATACTATCGATAGTATTGTAGTTCTTTAATAACAAACTATCGATAGTATCGATACTGTCGATTTTATTTGCAACCATACTATCGATAGTTTAACAATTTGCAATGGTATTGTTTACAATTTTCAGGTATTATAGTCAATCACAAACTTAGTCTAGAACAATCGCTAGTATCGATACTATCGATAGTATTGTTGCAGATAAAATCAACACTATCGATAGTATCGATACTATCAATAGTTTGTTATTAACGAACTACAATAGTATCGATAGTATTGCACTCATTCGATAGTATTGCCTTGTTCTGAGCTATCGATAATATCGATACTATCGATTCTATCGATAGGCCTATCGACAGGGTACATGATTTTCGATGTAAACTGTCGATAGTTTTATTATCGATAGTTCGGCAACACTAGATCATAGCAAACATAGGTTATTATTATACATACATTATCGTGTCTGTGGGAGACTGGAGTCTAATCTAGGCAGTAGTCTACCTGTATTTTAGAACACCAGGCCTCCGACCCTCGATACAATTTTAAAACACTCTTTAAAAACCTAATAGGTATATGTATGTATTTATTTATAGTAGAGACAAATTTAAAATAGAGATCATTAAACTGTGCATGTGTATGTGTGATAGTATGTGTGTGTTTGTATTTGTGTGTGTGTGTGTGTGTGTGTGTGTGTATGTGTGTGTGTGTGTGTATTAGATTTTCTAATTACAAAAAGTTTCTCAGTCTCATCATATGATTTGCTGAGGAGCCATTGATGCTCTGGTAACCGACAAAACCAAGTAAGGTAATTAACATAAGTAAGGAATAAAGTGAACAACTATGGGACAATTCGGATACGAAATTGATTGTTTGTAATTAAACTTTTTTAATCTTCTAAATAAGACACCCACATCATTATTTTTATGTTTATTAAAATAAATAACTGTGCTATCTGAGTAAAATACAACGCCATGAGTAAACACAAATATACGGTACATAAAACTAGTTTTTTACGGGTTAATGCACGAAACTTTATTTATTTATTGACGTTTGTCTGTTTTTTTTTTTTATGTTGAAACCGTGTGCGTGAAAACCTAAGAAACAAATACGGTACATGTTCATTCATCCATTCATTCGTGAATGGGCGTCGGCCACCACTTTACCAGTCAGTGACAAATTACATCTAGGATCAGGATGCCAGTGTGCGGTTCATGTAATATAAGTCTCACTGGTATTTTGGTGCACTAGAGAGTTCGCTTCCCTAGAGATCCTGAGAGACCTTCTGCCGCTCATCCTATTTTTTTTTAATGCTAAAAGGATGGCAAACAATCGTATTGACCGCCTGATGGTAAGCGGCCATCATAGCCTAAAGACACTTCATCATCATCATCAGCCTATTAATATCCCCACTGCTGTGGCATAGGCGTTTCCTATGGATGGATTAGGGAGATTGTGTCATGACCCACCACGCGGGCCCAGTGCGGGTTGGTGGGTGCTAACGACTGCAGATGCCGCCGGGACCAACGGCTTAACGTGCCTTCCGAAGCACAGAGTAGCTCGAGATAGTAAATTTATTAGTCACCCATCCAATTACCGACCACTGCCAAGTTGCTCAACTTCAACGACCGCAGCCGAACGCGCTAACCACTGGCGCTATTGAGCTCCTCTATAGACACTTGCGATACAAAAATATCACTTACACCGTTGCCTACCCAAACCCAATCCTTTTTTTTGGTTAAGTTCTCCCTTTTCAGGGAAGGCAAGGGGAACAATGCCCATACAGCCTAGTCTTGAGTTAAATTATTTTGTTTTTCTTTTTACATTAGAATGTCGGTGTGACGCATTCTAATGTTTCTTGAAGTGTTTGACACGAAATGTATCGAACTGGCTTTTTCGATAAGCTTCTGTGAGGTAGTCAATACTACAATAAAATTCTCACGTCCACTTGACCGGAATAGCGTATATTTTGACGATTCTACTAATTCTTCAGTTACGCAGACAGTTGTAACACAAAATCACATCAATTTTATTTCACAATATCCACTATGAACGAATTTAAGAATAATTAAAATAAGACGCCAACCACACTCGATGAAATCCCGCCAAAAACTCCCAAACCCAATCCGAAACACAACCATTCCGAAAGGTGGAGGTTCTTTCCTCAGACGGGAGCTCCAATTGTCAATCCGCTATGCCTCTCTTAAATCCGATACGAGTATACATCAGATTGCACTCGTCTTCTAGCACACATTTTTGCTATAGTTACCTACGTAGACGCTCGCACTACGTAGACGGTCCTTTAGACCGACAAGAAGATCATAGAGCTGGAAGCAATTTGCGCTGGGATATTTTCGGATTATCTGAAGTCCGTAGAAAAATCTAAAATCATCTATTCTGTCTAGGCTGTTACAAGCTCCTTGTGAAGGTCAAGAAGCTACGCCATCGGTCCGCATAACTACCTACAACTACCTTGTACTGAGAAGAACCGGCAAAAAACTCAGCAAGGGCTGTTTTTTTCTCCCTCCCCTTGTTATATACAGAGTCGTCAAGTAGAAGAATGAATTCAGAGATACTTCTGAAGTCACCTTCCATTACATCATTTAGAATATAGATTTAAAGTTACAATAAATTTTATAGTTAACTTTATATTTATATATAAAGGAAGCGGCATCAGATAGGTACCATATTACTGTTATGACTAATGCCCATCAAATAACAAATTAGAAGAAACACCATGTCCATGCATTACAATCATTTAGATGATCATCAAAATAATAGCCCTTATTTATAAGAGTTTACTTGACCTGAGATTTGAATTTGGCCAGTGGAAGTCTGTAGAGGAACTAAAACAACCGACATAGCTCAACGGATCACCAAGCTGAAGTGGCACATAGCTCGGCGAACCGACGAACGTTGAGGCACAATACATATAAGAGCAGTACTCCGACTTCATACTAGCGCCCGAATCGACGCACGCACACACACAAATGTCATTTACACGGCCGCTAACCAATCTTGACAAGACAAATCTACGCAGTCCCACGTCGCGCGCCGTCGAGACTGGTCGTTGGCTGAGTTAAGTTAGTCTGCCTCCGTTTCGATTCCGTAACGTAGCAAAAGTAACTATACACATCTTAGATTAAAACATAAAAGGTAGATACGGCACTAGCCTCACAAAAGTGATCCGCACAAATTGTGGTCCACAACCCTAATCGCTTTAGACACAACTTGACATGCAAACGACGTACATGTAAACGCCAAAAAGAAATATTGATAATATTTTGTGTTTATATGATAAAACAATGCTTAAGTGTGTTTTTAAAAAGTGCTCAAATTGCTCAAGAATTAAAAATAAAACCCACGACATCACTTTTCATTCTTAAGTACTATAAATTATATTTTTTCATAAAAATTGCTGTTTGTTTTGAATCTTATTCGGTAGTGACGTCGAGTACTGGTCGCGTGATTGGTCGGTAGTGCAGTGACGCGGATCTCGCCGTCTCGTTCGCGCTGCCGTTGAAACTTAACGTGCTGTTTCGTTCGGGTCGGTAATGCAGTGACGCGGATCTCGCCGTCCCGTTCGCGCTGCCGTGGCCGTGGGATCAGTTTTTGTTTGATGCAAGTATCAGCGTACCGTATCTACCCTTTTTGTTTTAATCTAAGATGTGTATCTTAGATTACAATAAAATCTACACAAATATGTTTTACATTTTGTAGGTACCAACCTTAGCACTTCGCTCAGTCGTTGGTATCTATTTCAAGAAAACGGCTAAGTTACACTACTGCCTTTTATGTATTGTGGTTGAGGTCCCAAGGTGCTTCAAAAGAATCCTCGCACCAAGAAGCGCACTGGAGTCTACCCTACGAGGTGGACTGACGACATCAAGTAAGACGGGGGGACCCACTGGATGCGGAGAGCGCAGGATTTCCATATGGAAATCCCTTGAGGAGGCCTATGTCTAGCAGTGGACGTCCATCGACTGATGATGATGATGATGATAATGAGAGTCGTCACTCCACGGGTGCATTGCAGTCAGTAAGTGCCTGACATTATACTGCAGCCAGCTGTAGGGTATCCATGAGGATTTCTCAACTTCGCCCCCGCCTGGGAGGATACAAAAAAAAAAGTTATTGGCCGAGAAATTTGTATGTGAATGATGGTATCCCATAAAGAGAAATACGTATTGTGTCCATGGAATCTACAGTATCTCTAGAGACAATGTAGAAAGAAAGAAAGAAAGAAAAACATTTATTGACGACATACATTAACAATTACAATAAATACACAACAAACATAAAACAAAAGGTACATCGTCAACTAGGCCCCACCTCAGCATAATGTTGCAACGGCAAAAATGGATTGCCGCTGCAACGCTGGTATTCTGGAGGGACCTAATTTGGACATCAACGGACGGAGACACAAGATAATCACCTAACATACAAAATAAGAGAAGATATTAATCTATTAATATTAACACTAAACAAAAACAACATGCAAAAACAATCATTCATAAAACAGACAACAATAAGGCTCTCTACAACAACAGCTCTTTGCCTTTGGATACACAAAAAAGAAGAGAGATAAAAAAATATATATATATCAAGAATTAAAACAAAATGGAGACAAGACGACACGTAATAAAACCACGTCATGTAGTTGATTTAACCTGAAGCTATAATCACCGTTTCCCCAATGTTATCGTCAAG